ACACACACACACACACACACACACACACACACACACACAGTATTTCTCAAACAGACAAGGACGAGAAAAAAACTGAGATATAAATCTTGACAGATGAACCTTGAGAAAGTCGGTGGATGACAACATTGGCTTGGTTCAGTATTGATGCTGGTGGATTTATGTGTAATGACCGCTGAGCTGTTCATCTTATATATTAGCAACACTACGGTGCGCAGTGTCCAGTTCTATATGAGCATCAGCTCACCTTCCAAACACTGGACTGATTGTATTTCACAGTCGTATCTTTGACGTGAGGCAGCCTCTCTTCTGCACAGCATTCAGCAGCCAAATGAAATTCTCTTTTTCTTAGCGACTCTGATTTTTCTTATTATATTGCACTGCAGGAGCCATTAGAGAGGCAGGTTAATGACCAGAGGGTTCTGGCAGGAATCTATCATGGGAAAAGCTGTAAGGGAGAAATCTACATGCTGCACATCACCCAATGTGAACGTGGAGGAGAGAGAGAGACAGCAGCAAACCCACTCTGTTAGACACACTATGATAAAGAAAATGTGCAAAATGTGGAAATTAACTTATCTGAGCTGGAGAGTGTTTAGAAATGAGTGGAGGAAAAATCTGTATTAGCTAAATTGCATACTTATCCTTATCATATTACTCTCAATGACCATTCTCTGTTATGTAAAATCATATTAATAAATCATGGAAACACATCCACAAACTTCAATCCTTACGATCCGTAATAAATCTACAGACATGAAGATTTAGAAATGTATTTTATCTGACAGCACAAAATGGTCACGTGATAAACATCTAAAGAATCTGGGATTCGAGGCTTTCAGGATAAAGCAAAGGAAAATAAATGAATGAGTCATCACTCACGGGGAATGATGCCACTCCCTCGGGTAGCAGAGCATCGTCTGTGAGGGGCATTCAATATTCCAAGAGGAAGCCTCTGCTCGTATTAGCGCTCCCCCTCGGGACCAGTCGCTAACAGGCAGAGGGGACAGAGCGCCGAGGCTGTGGCGGCTTCATCAACATGCCGTCCTCGGCTTCAGAATGAAAGCCAACGCCCATACCTGCCTCCTCTGTCGTCGCACCCACACTCAAAACAATAGCTATCCAAATCCAAACACTGGTTCATTGCTTTAAGTGCAGGATGGGAGTCGTTAAATCAAGTGCTTTGTTTAAGCTGCTGCACTGAATACTCCTCCCTTTCAGTATTACATAACGGACATCTTACTATTTGGGGGGTTGTGTAAAGTAGAACGAAAGCTAAAAGTGAAGGTGATTAATCAGTGAAAGGTTTGGGAAACTGCATGCTACTAAAGATTTATTCTTTGTTTCTGTTTGCAGGCAAATCCTAAAAACTCCTGAGGTTAAGAAACTTGGAGAAGTTGGATTGAAAGGAAGAATTAGATGAAAAGTTTGATAGCAACACGATGAATGCCTCAGTGTTACTAGTTTTTAGTTTGTGTACTATATGTTGTGTTCTGCAGTTAGACTATACTGTAGCTCCTGCCTGTAAATGAGGAAGCATTTAAGTCTATAAATGCTGTACTTTCTGTAGATATATTGATTGGGCTTTTAAATTTCAACTTATTTCCTCCACGTAAATAATTAAAATAATTAACTCTGTGTCCTCAATGAACACAAAGGAAATGGTATGTATGTTTGTGTATATGTGAATAAGAGCAGATTTTAATAGTTTAACTTTATCATCTGAAAATCGATAGATAAGCTGATCAACGGAAATTGAGCAGTTGTTTAAATCATTTGTTGGGTTAAAACTGAGAATATTCTCTCATAGTCTGTTGTTTCAAAGGTTTGAATTTTAGGATTTTATTGTTTTATTCACATGAATGTGAAAGGTCAAATCCATTTTTGTGTTATGTGCATTTGTGCATCCTGAACACTGCCGAGCCTGAAACTTATCGATAAAAACTTTGTGTTTTTTGTGTACCTGCGTTTTCCAACATATTCTACTGTATACTTGTGTTTTATACTGTTGGTTGTCACTGTGAACTCTGGGAACTTTTAAACACTCAAAATAAAATAATCACTGAAACCAAAACTGGTCTTAATAACAAAAAGAATCATTAGTTCCAGCTGTATTCACATGAATCATTCCCTCTCATAAACTACAGGCAGGTGCTGCACATTCTCCACCAGAGTCATCACAGCCAAAGACGGTTAAAGCAGCGAGCAGAATGAGTCACAGTCATGATGAGAGCAGTGCTGGCTGCCGGCACACACGCTCTCAGAGGACCGAGCGCCTCAGCATCGCTCTTACAGTGCACCTCTGTCATGTGCAGAGACCAGTCTCCACCCAGGGCTCCTGTGTGTGGTGAGAGAGCGATGGCTGAAGGACGCCATGAATCTTTGACAGAGACAAAGAGTGAACACTGAACAGCCATGAGAGGGAGGGAGGGAGGATGAGGATGCAGAGTGGGCTTGCAGGAATATTACTAAATGACTTAGCATCCAGACATAAAGAGTCTGGAAAGAAAAGGGAGCAGACAAAAATAAATGCAATTCTGATGAAGACAATGAGGCTTTGTTGTCATTAGTACACAGTGTATTGTTTGTTTTGTATAATGAGACACGGACTCCTCATAATGAACGAGTGTTAGACCGAGCGCTCCATCCACCGACGAGCAAGTCCAACCTTGAGCAGCATAAAGCATAACGAACATGAATAAACCAACAGGACTGAGGCCGTGTGCTCACTGCTTCACCTGCCGACACTAAACTATTTATACTTCCAAATACTGTCCCTTCCACAACTTCCACAGAATTCACTTAACACATCCCTCATGTGGTTTTATACAAGACAAAGAGATGTGCACAACCGAGCTGATGACGACGTATCAGGTCACGAGCTGTAACAACCGTTTGTTCTGCTGTTGACTTAAGATTTGAATGGATGTAGATAAGAGACGTGTCTGTTGGCATTATGAGCACTGACTGTGAATTATAACTATACACACTTCAAGGACAGAAGCTAGACTGACACATTAGACAACTCGCTTCTTCAAACCTGCAGAAATCTGCACAAAGTCCGAGCATCATCAGTAAACTCGGACTCTACTGATGTATTTTTTTTCTCTTTTCTGCCATTATCAACAATAAATTGACTTTTTGGTGGATCAGAACTCGTTGCTGACAACAATTCTTCAGTTTTTCAAATTCGAGTCAAAATCTCCAAGAACCTTAATCACATGGGTGTGTTTATTAATTTTGTTCATATCCATCAACCTAAATATTCTGTTTTGATTGTTAATAAACTATGAGTTGGAAATTTTAATCAATCGTTGTATTTCTGTTCTAATTGAGCACTGAACCAGAATCATGACTCTAAATAATGAGTTGGTATGAAATTAAAAATGTTGGTATCATGTCAACACTAATATCTCATACCTGCTCATGGCAGCGTGGAGAAATGAAGGAAAAGTAGTTCAGGGGAACTGTAGAGGTCATAAAAACCTGATTTATTAATTAGCTACTACTTTGACAAACGACATTTCAACCAAACTTATAACAGTTTTAGTTTCATATGAATTTTCTGTATTTGTGTGATTTTATGAGTTTGAATTTATTATTATTGAGAATAAATATAAATGCTTCTTAAGTTTTGTAACTCACCAATTTCCATCTCGATGAATGTGGCTTCCTCTGGGAGGGCCCGTGGCAGAACCCCGGGGTCACTGAAGCTGGTCCTCAACAACATGGCCATGACGAAGAGGAAGAGCACGACAGCGAAGACTGGGATGGTGGGAGACAGATGCAGAGCCAGGTATGGACATCTGTGGGAGGAAAGAGAAAAGTATTGTAGATGAAGAGAGATCCAGTCACAACTGTTTGGCTTACAGTCTAAAACATGAATGCAAACGAATGTTGTGCCCTAGCATCTTGCTTATCTTATGTTTTATTAGAATCAAGATGGTTAGTCGATTACTCCATTGGCTGATTTATGTGTCGGTGAACATTAAGCAGTGACTTAACTCATCGACACATCTTTTATACAATTCTTATGACAGAAAATGATGAGGCAATTTCTTCTTTTATATTGGGGACGTTTTTGGGAAATTTCTAAACAAAGTTATCAATAAGTGATCTTGATCAGTCAGAGGGCAGGTCTATAAAAGAAGGTCAATAAAAGCAATTGCAGAGATGCAGGTGAGGCAGTCATTAGCTATGGCTGAAAAGTGGCGGCATCACCTGATCAATTAACTTGTCGTCACAAGAAAAAAGCTGGAGTGGAGCTCCTGTGGGAACAATAACCGTCAAAAGGCCAGTAATTATGGGACACACACCCGGGTCTGATCAACCTGTGGTGGGCCTGCCTCAGGAGAGGGGGTGCTGTGAGTAAAAGGCAGAAAAACCCAAGGACACTGAGGAAATCAACTGAAGTTGTGTCCCAAAGAACATCCTCTTGTTGCCCTTCATTAGAATATCCACAGTCAAGGTGCTGAACCAGAGGGATTGTAACACCCAGTTGTTATAACCATCAAAATGAATGATCCTTGGCTGCAGCCCTTCACTCTTTGATTTAAAGACTTGAAGAAATATTTATATAAATGTGACAACAACCTCAAATGGGAGAGCTCTCTGACAGAGAGCACAGAGGACATGACACAACAACACTACACATATTCTGAACTGGTGTTCTGAGCACAAGGTCATGAACTGCCCTTTCTCTGGACCAGGCAAGAGTCATGGCCATGAATAAACAACACCACGCCACACTCCCCCCACCTTCTGGAAGAGTGGGGCAACATTAGCATAACCACGTTTGCCAGGCCGTTGAGATTAGAGCCAGCAGGGCTCCTCCAAACAGGCCTGCTGCTCTGCGCGATAACAGATGTGAGTTGCGTCACAACAGAGCGCAGCAGCAGAAAATGCTCCCTCATGCAGATATTAATAGTTTAACTGCGCCGCCTCATGTCCCTCCCATGTGGCCAGGATCATATATTCATAATGCAAAACTACTGTTGCACTACAGTGTTGCAGGTTGTTAGGCCATATCCTGTACATGGCCAACTTCTGTACCACGACATAAATATAGCTGCATGCAGATCTGACACACTCTGAATTATGAGGAAGAAGAAACTTAGAGCTCTGATAATCCACAGATGCACATCATCTTTTTGTTCAAGTGAGTTATATGTATTCAGGAAATCAACTTGTTTTTTTATTTGTACATCGAACATCTTTGGGTTTTAGACAAAAAGTCATCTTGACATTACAAAATGTCAAAAATACTTGCAGGCCGAAGTTGAAATAAAAAATATGTTTTTTAATTTAAAAAATGTGTTTATTTTCAAGGAATATAATTCACATGTTGCAACCCATTCATATTTGTCACATACCAACCAATGGAACACATGCATTTCTAACAGTATGCTATAAAAGTAGGCTTGATGAAAACTGCTTAATCATAAATAGATAATATTTTTTACACCCACGTGGTTGTAGCTGGTTTAGTTGGGATTTGTTCATTAGAATCAATACAAGTTGGTGTTTAATCAATTGATCAGTCAACAGAATAGAGTTTGGCAAGTTTGGTGAAGTGTCAGTCAGCAAAAGATGGCAGCGAACAGATTCACACTACGATATACAGATGAGCCAGGTACATCCACATACCTGAGCACTGACACCACACACACACACACACACACACACACACACACAGACACACACACAGACACACACACAGACACACCTGCAGGACTGGTCTGAGCAGTTTCCCTGCAGAGCCTTTTTTCATACTAATGGAAACACAGGGCAGAGATTAAATCAATAAAACTTTCCACTGGAGCAGGCCTGTGAAGTAGGTTTGCAGGAGGCAAAGGATTCGGACCGAGGGGAGGCAGTCTGTCGATGAAGTGTAATTCCTGTAATGATGACTGGTAGGTTCTCGAGGCACACTATCATCGCTTCCGCACAAGCCTGCACGTCCTTCCTGGATGTGACCATTTCCTGTGCTGTTGAGGAGCCGGGTGGTGCTGGCACGGTAAAGATGTGTTTTCATCAGTCAGCACAGAGGCAGCAGAAAGAAACGGGACTTAATCTGGCCGCGGGTCCATGAGGAGCAAATGTTTTCATCATCAACAAGGTGATCGATCAGACCGCCACACGACAAACACAGGCCCCCAACACTTCCTTTAATCTCCCTGTCTGTTGGTAGCACAATATAAACTACTTCCTGTGGTGGGAAGTAACAAGTACATTCAAATACAATCCTGAGGTTCTTGTACTTATACTTAACAACATTTAAATCTCTATGAGAGGATCAATACCGCTTTCATGTTTATACAGTAAATAAGAGCCTGAAGTGAGTTAGCCTAGCTCAGCATAAAGACTGGAAACAGCTAATGAAGAACACAAAATATAAACAACAATCTGCTTTAGCTTCATATTTACAGTAAAAATACTGTATACGAGAGTCCTTTCAATCCTCACATCGAGATCAATGGAAGCGACAAACAGTTTCTTAAAAATATAAGATTTTAAACGTAGATATACTAGACAACTCATTTTCCAACATTGTACTGCTGAGTACTACAACTTATCTTATGAAGTCTACGGGCTACACGCAGCAAGGCCAGCTGAAAGTGTGCTGTGCTGCACGAGTGAGCACGACCCTGAATCAGTGAACAGTGATAACACATTTACAGACCGAAGCGTCTCACGTCACACACACAGATGAGATGCAACCTGGGACCAACAACCACACGCTCAAATCAAATATCTCTTATTTGATATTCAGTACTTAAAAATAATAAATGCAGGGAGTCTAAATCACATTAACTGTAACCTTGTTTAGACCCTGTATAAACACTTCACAACAAACCCATTCATCCGTTTATCATCTACACCTCTTATCCTTCAAAGCTCTGGCACCGCAGCCGATCTCAGCTGACATTGGGCAAGAGGCGGGGCACACCCTGAACAGGTCGCCTGCCCATCACAGGGCTGACATACAGACAAACAACCAGTCACACCTGCAGGAAGTTTTACATTCTCCAATGAACCTGAGGCTGCATGACTGACTGCGGGAGGAAGTAGGACACACACTGAGAACATGCGAGCGACCCTGCCCTGAGTTCATGGGAGATTGTTTATTGTTGTATAATTGGGATGTGATAGCTTAAAAAAACTGCAAGGATCTCAAACACACAAAACAAGTACACAATAGTACACAATCTATCACTTACTCCCTGTTAAAAGAGATGAGTTCACAATGCAGTGTGTGTGTGTGTGTGTGTGTGTGTGTGTGTGTGTGTGTGTGTGTGTGTGTGTGTGTGTGTGCAGTAGATGCATTAGGGTGTGTCTACCCCACTTTGATCCAAAGGATTTCCCATCTTAACTCAGAATGAGACGAGAAGCTTCTAGGGTAGAAGCAATAGAGTAAAAATCATTTTAATTCTTTGTAATAAAACCAGGATTAATATGTCAGCGTGTCGTTCCTTAGGTGACTCATGACATTTTACTTTTGTAAACGTTTCAAGCCCTTCCTTTATTAATACTTAAGGTTTGTAAGCTGTTGCAGACCTGCATGAATCATACTACACATGAATTATGTACGTTTGCATGTGCAGGCAGATCCACAGTGGGCCTCAGTAACAGCCCTGTCATACAAACATCTGGAGACTGCGATCACGCCTGTTTCTGGGGCACTGCTGAAGAAAAGAAAAGCCCTCCGACTCTGTCTGCCCTCTCTCCTTTTCCACACACTGATAGAACATATAGATACTCCATGACTGAAATTTGTGAATATTCAGATAAGAGGGGGATTTCAAAAGGTGTCACCACAAACCCTCAAATTTCACCACATTACTTTCCAGGCTTTTTAAAGATCGTAAGGATTTTTTTCTCTTTCCAGGAAACAAATGTTTAAGTGTATGATTTGAACGCAATGGTAAAACAGGAAGCCGAGACCTTAACAATGGACAGCAGATAACTTTGAGGAAACACGTCATTCAAACCTTTTAATAAACTAATGTGTGGGTGAGTTTAAAAGGTTAAACTGAAATTCAGTGGGTACAATCTGTTGTCTGAGTTAAATCAGTCGTCCTTGTTATGCAACATTTAAATACCATATGAGTGAGATGAAACATTAGAGCCGGGGTCGTGACCATTTCCCTCAGATTAAAACTCGGATTACAGATGTTGCATCATAGAATATTCACTAAGTGAAATGAAGGCTAACAGTGAATGTGATGATTTAATTTCAGCAGCATGAAAAACAATACTTGCACTTCAACATCATGATTGAAGGGGAATCTATCTACGTACACATCTTCAAGCACAGCATCTTCCTCAAACCACACAGATAACGACAATGTGAGGAAACAGATAAAATCCCCTCCCCGTGTGAGAGGGAGGGGAACAATCTGCACTCTCCTCCTGCCACGGAAGCAACCGGAGAACAAAGCCTGCAGATCACTGTTACTGTAAATGGAGCATGTACTCTGAATAGGGCATAAATCATGTTATTGCTCATTTAGCCTGGGCAGGGAGCTGCTTTCTGATTGGCTAGCATGGAGACAGGGTGGGGTTAGAGATGCTGCGGGAGGCTCAGGGGTCGATTACAAGTTTCCTCTGAATACAAATGCTCTGAGACCACTTCTCATTCACTTGTACTGGGAAATGGTCGACAGTGGACCTGTATGTACAAACACATGAGAAAGGATCAGTCTCTTAACATGGACATATGCCTCTCTAGCTTCAGGCCAGCGTCCTGGGTGGACACGCAGATGACACACTGTCCCTTTGTTCCAGTTTCTTGTTCCCTCATCCAAGCTCTATAGGTGGCTAACCACATGCACATATGCATGCATGCACACACACACACACTGAACCAAATGTGCAAAAGGAAAGCAACCCAGCGAACATCCAACAGTGAGGACGCTTCATGACAAAGATACAAACATGTTAGGCAGTTAACTTCCAAAACCTTTTACAAATCACCTCTCATAACAGAGAATATCAATTCCAACAGGGAGAGGACATGTCGTCCTGAAATTAATTCTTCCCGTAAAGGAATAAATAAGCCAGGCCTACGTCTTCTGTGAATAATTTGTTTAGTTGTTTCTAATGAGTCTCTTCATTTGTGTATTCAACCGCTCGTTTCCGCAATTTCGTACAAATTAAAGCACAGAGTGGTTTCCCTGCACGCGGTGCTGATGGCTGGTGATAAAAGTGAGACGTCTGCTCAGAGGATATGAGACAGTCTGAACAAGGACATGGCCCTGTCTGTCCTCCCATCAATGCCACAGTGCAGCACTCAACACAATGAAAAACAAATAGAATCAACAAACCCTCTGAAAAACACAGAAACCAAACCCTTCACAGACTGAATGATGAACTACAGCAAAACTCAGAAGAATTTGCCGCCACAAAAAGCTTTGTTTCATTTAATTCGATTTTAATGATGCCGAAATTTAATCTGTGACTATTTGGATAACAATAATTATTTCATCCAACTTGAGAAGAAGATCAGTGAAACTACGTTATCTTAGTTTGGTGCAAACATTTCGCAAATTAGCAGCATCAAAGTTTTACATGGATTTGTTATTAAAGTGATCATTTTGAGTGAAAGACAAAAGGTCAAGAGATCACCAAGGTTATTATAATCAATACTGACTGGGGCTTGTGTGTGTGTATCACATTTCATGTTAATCCATCCAATAGGAAAAAAATGTATAAAAACAGAAATGTAAACCTGCTGGTGTTGTCAGAAGAGAAGTCAGGAAATAGAGGAGGAATGTTTGTACTGAATTTCAGAGCAATCTAATATTTTTTCAGGGTTAGGCTTATTTCTGGATCCAAATAGTTGTCAGAAAAACATCAATACAGATTTCATGATTTCTGTCAAACACAAAGACCTCGAACATTTCTTTGTCACATAGGATGGTAAACTTAATTTATTTGGATTCAAGCTGGGACATAACAAGCAACTTAAATAAATCACCTTGGTCTTTCACCATTTTGCACCTCTGACACCAGCTGAGGATATTCTACGATGCTATAATACCAAAGTCTGGACTTAATGTTTTAATGCTTCAATTAAATGTATTGCAATTGTGCAATTTGTGAATGCATTAAACCTCAGAGCCTTTGTTTCAGAAGGATATTACTCCTGCCATAGATTTAAATCATATCTATCAACAGGCCGTGTAATGCTGCATTTGAAAATTACCTCCATGTTGTCGGGGCCTCTCCATGTTAATATCCAACCTCTCCCCATGAGAGATAATTATGTTTCACTGTAATATGAACATAGCATGCTAACAACCCTCCAGCCATTAGTCGCTGCAATGCCTCCTCTGGGCTCTGGATGTTCAGCGTGAGCAGTATCATCTCTCTCTTTCTCACTGCACTCTGAGCCAGACAACAGCTCCTTCTGTCCGGACTCAGAGGGAAGCAGGAGGCCATTAAAGTGCAGAGCAGATCGAGATGGGAAGGGCCTGGCATGAGTGAAAGCAGCTACTTCTCCTCTACGCTCCAAATCCATTTGGCCTGGTCGCTACATACACGCCCACAGAGAGAGAGCGGTTACTGTGCTGCACGATTTGTGCTACATCATCATGTCTATAATCTGTCTCTTAAAAAACTGGAGAGAAAGCAGAGAAGGGAATTTTAAAAAGGACAAAGACAGAAAGTGGGCGTAGTCTGAATGAAAAGCAGCGCTGCTCCATGATGATTATTCACGGTCATGTTCTTCATTTTTAAAAACAATCCTCTGCACAGCCTTAGCTGACAGGATTTGGGTTCACGAGCAGCATCCGAGCCAGGCGGCTACGTTTGCAGGGCTAATGAGTGCCAAGGTCGTGTGAGTAGTGGATCGAGACAGAACTGCTGAGACAACAAAAATGGCAGCTTTCCTTTCTTAAACCCTGAAGCTGGACAGTCAGGGTTATCAAATATTAAACACCTCAGTATGTGGTCAATCATAAATCTCTTCTCTGTCAGACACTGGATTTTGAACATTGGCGCATGAATGCAAAGTGTTTTCTGGAAGTTAAACAGAAATAGCTTCATTTCAAAGAAGATGATATACAACAGAACCAGGTGAGATGAGTCTAAAGAAATAATAATAAATGATGACAGGCTATTTTGATTATCAATAACTAATTTCTGTAATTTTTTGGCTTTCAAATGTTATGGATAATTTTTTCTGTCATATATAATAATATACACAATAGATTTGGATTGTTGGTGACATAAAACAAGATGTTTCCATTTGTTTCATTGACGAGACGATCAATCAACAAATATGTGTTTTCCTGATGAGTCAATTGATCATTGGGTTTATAAATTGTTATAAATTGGTGAAAAATGCACAAATAACATGATGCCAGAACCTCAGGTGATATCTTCAAATGTTTTGGTTGGTAAATTAGCAAATGTCAAAAAAGATTTAGTCGAGGAAAATTATAATTAGTCTAAGCAAATTAAACAATAATCACATTTGAGAAGCTGGAACCACAGGAATTTTACATACTCTCTCAAATGGCGGCATTTACACCATGTTGTAGCCTCAATCTGTTATCCTTCTCTGGAGCCGTGTTCCAGTGTGGATCACAGCGGACATTTAGGCTAAAAGCACGGTGTGAATGTCGGGGCTAACGGACACTTGGATGACACCACAGGAGCAGTATGGAGGCATTTTAAGTTATTTTTCTGTTGTTTTTTTTCTGTTCTAAGAAGTGGTCACCATTCACCTCAATTGGATTTGGATGCAACACAGTTGAATCTCCAAAAGTGTTTGTGGACTCAAACACTTCACCCACCCCTCCATCAGGATAGTGGTGAGTAGATGTTGTCCATTAATATTTAAACTATCAACATAGCATCAAATGAATCCTGTATATCAAACTAATCTATTGATGTACGAATTGAGGCTCTGAACTTGTTTTTGCAGGACAGGGACACTCACTGAGACACAGGAATAGACATATTATGGTGCTGGGAGGAGGCACATGGTCCTGAGGTGACATGGATTCAGATACAGTAGACATGAGGCTCATCAGGACTCAGAGAGGGAACAGGACTTACTCGAAGGCGAAGAAGAGGGAGCAGGTCCCGATGATGAGGAACAGGGTCAGGTAGAAGACTCCTTTCTGCCGGGCCATCATCACCCGCCCGTCGCAGCAGAAAGTGTTTTTCCCCGGGAGCTTCTCCCATTTTCGCACCTTTCGCGTGATCATCACCGCCGACATGGTGTCCTCTCCTCGGATCGGATCTCTGGGTGAACGTCAGCTGTTAAACTGTGGAAACAACAACACGATCAGACAACGAGGGGACAACAGGGATGAGGAGGATGGTGTGTGTGTGTGTGTTCTTAGAGAACCCAGAGGACTTACTGAGTGCTGTGACAGATTTCTGCACAGGACCAACAAGCATTGTTCAAGTGTCGCAGTCACATCATCAGTGTTTTCTAATCCATATTATTTCCAGTTTCCGGCATTTACCGCAGCATGTCATCCCCAGTGTGGAGCTCCCACGCTGCTCACACAATCTGTGTCCTCCCTCACCGTCCGCACGGGTTCAACAGGATTATTAGCAACGTATAATTATTGATTATTCATTAGGAGAAATTCACCCAAACGTTTGAGGCAGAAGAAGAAGAAGGAGAAGAAGAAGGAGCCTGTGAATCCAGAGGATCGGACCTTGACCGGTTGACATTCATATCATATCTGAATGAATCATAAACGACGCTTCGCTCCAGCTCGTTCTCGTTCCTCAGGGATCAGACTATGACCTGGACGCTGTAAAATAAACAGGAATAATCAGGAATAACCGCGATCCGAGTGAAAGAGAGACGTGAATGTGTCTGATGAGCAGGTTTTTCCTCCTCTCTCTCTCTCTCTCTCTCTCTCTCTCCCGCAGGATCCAGCTCCTCAGTCAGTGGCAGCAGGAAACACGCCTAGATTGAAATGTCCAATCTTAAAGGGGCAGGACAGGTGAAAGACAGAGGAACAAAGGAGCCACAGAAATGTTCCGTTCACATCACATTCTTATCTGAAAGATGCTGGAGATACTGGAGCTGCTGTGTCACCCGAGGAAGAGGAGGATTGTTGAGGACTTGAATCCCTCTGCTGTTCCTCCATGTGTCACCTCCAGAGGTGAACACCGCAGAAACCTCTGGAAACGATGATTTTCATTTATACGTTTCTATCATTTGTATTTGAGCTGAATTTGTCTTTCAGCTTTGTTGATTTTTGCACAACTGTACAATTTTAGTTTATGTATTTTGTATTTGTAAAAATATATGTTTCCATTTTCCAGTTTACATATTTGTCTGTTATTGTGTTTTAGATCTTTACATTCTTCTATTTATATCTTCAAGTTTACATATTGTTCTGTTTATACTGTATATATTTATATGAGTTGCTTTTCTTTACAACTGTCCTGTAACCTGCTGGGATCAATAAACTATCTATCTATCTTTCTTGTGGGTATCCGTGTTTGTTTTGTGTATTATGCATGTTTTTGAAAGTAAATACATACAAGCGAACAGTTGCACCTGAATATTCAGCTATTGTTTTTTAAATAATGAAGCTATCGTAGTGGCCAGGCAAGTTAATACATACTCTATTTCTAAATTGAAATAATTGTTTAACAGAAGATTATATTTATTGATCTCTCTTGACAATAACTGGTCAAACTCCATCGTTTAGAAACACTGCAGTCACCAAAGAATCAGTATCTATCTCTGCCTCAACCTTTTGGATTTGTGTAACTGTTGTGATGGTAAAGTCTGCAGGAGCTTTTGATTTAAAGTCTGTGTGGTTATGTAAACATGGACAGGAATAATAACTGCACTTACATTGGCCTTACAAGGTGTATAAAGGCCCCTCTGTCTTTTTGAGTACTGGCATGAAGTGTTACTGTGATAGTTGAGTATTGGCTCAGCTCAGATGTGTAGCCATTAAAGCCTCCTTGTTGCTACACAGATGAGTGGAGATGGCACTTTATGAGATGCATTCGGTCGGGCTGGACACTTAACGACCCAGAGAATGAACCAAACATCCTTCAGTCTCAGTCTGTCCTTGAGTTATTAATCTGAGGTAGAAAAGCTGCTGTGGTACCTCATCAGTCAGGAGCCTGCTGTTTCATACCCGGTCCAGAGGAGGACATTATTAATACATGACCTCTCAGATGCTGCTTTGATGAACCTGCCGACGCAGCTTCAAATGAACTCATGGCTGCAGACAACTTAAAGTCAGGATTCAAATTCTGGTGCCACTTTTCATCACAAAGGAGAAAACAGGGAGAAGGAGGTTTGATCTCAGGGTGAGAGGAAAAACTTCAGGATGTGACCGATCTAATGTGTATGACAGCAGACAGATGGATAAATTTATCTGCAGTGGTTTTACACATGAAATACATACAAATACCATCATACCATACTAACACAAAAGCACATTACTGTATCACTCAGCAGTCCACCATCGAATAAATGCTGCAACAAGAAAGAGACGAAAATCTTTTGTTCTTAATCTGAAACTGCTCTTGGGCAAAAAAATAAAATAAAATCCTATCCTTAAACTGAAGGAGCTACTGATGATTTACCCTCATGATGTCAATCAGGGGTATTTGTGATTTAAGTCTTTTAACACAAAGTCTGTTTTAAAAACAGAGGGTATAAAGTTTTAAAGCACTTAGACGATTGGGGATTAAACGTCAGGATACTTTTTCTGTCTTTTCTTTTTAATCAATCTCTCTGTTAAATCAAATCTCTAGAATAAAACCTGTCAACAGAGTTGATGCAACTTTTTCTCCATTTGATGTTAATTTAAAAACACTTCTTCATCCTCGTTTGAGTTTGTGTGAAATCTGTTACCACAGCAGCTCCCATTGAAAAGATATTTTTTCATTTTTAAAGCTCTGACATGACGCTTCTGACTTAATTTAACATTTTCTTGATCCAGTAGATTTTATTCACTGAGACTCACCTCGATGACTTTTGTCTCCATCTGTTGACTTCAGCTGGAACCTGGTCCAAACCAAACCGATCCTCATTCATGTTTCCCGAGAGATTTACCCAGAAACTGTCGATCAGCAATTGACATAAATCACAGATTCAGTGTTAGTTGTTAAGTTTTAGTCAGAATTTATCATTAACCAGCAGCACAGAATGTTTAATCGATCAAAACAAACGCTCCGACGTTTGTCTTTACAATAAAGATTGGTGGATTCAAATGTCCGTCGCGTAAAATGGTCCGACTGGAAACGTGTTCTTGTTTATGGTTGTGGAGCAGCTACGTGATCTGCAGCTGATTCGTCGCTCTTGAGCTTTTTAAACCGAAACACAGAGGATTCCGATGTTTGTCTGGAAATGGACGGTGCACCTTGTCTTCGTGTGTCTCAGTGTCACACACAACAGCTCAGGTAGATATTTAGTGAGTGATCAACCTCTTTAAGCTAAGTTAGCTGCTAGCCAACCCGGGAACCTTTCAACAGAGAGATTCATGTTTTGGTGTAGAAGAAAGCAAAGGTTCAATGTGTAAGATTTAGGTGAAATGGATCTATTGGCAGAAATTGAAAATTAAATAATCTTAGTTGTAATTATCAACATTTTACCAATTGATTCCTTTTATATTTAAATACTTTATATTTACATCAGGAGCAGACAAACTAGACACCTTGAGGTTCTCTGTCATGTTTGGAAGGGGAGGCTGAGGTGATGGATGTTCAGCTGCAACATCCAACCTCACAACTTCCCTGAACCTTTAAAATATGTTATTTGACAGGATGTGTCTGCAGTCCAGAGGGGCTCTAGATCCGAGTTTGAATCTATTGAAGGACCCAGATGGAACAGTTCTCTTACCCATATCACCGTCCTGTGTGTCACAACTGGATCTGCACTCTCTCAGAAGCATGGTGGCCTCAGACAGCACATGTGAACTGGTCTGGAGTCAGGTAATTAAAAAGCAGAGTGAAATACTGTTTGCAACAGACAGAATTACACTGTCGTCCGAATCTTTGTATGTGTCTCCTGTTGTCTGTGTCCTCTGCAGGCAAAGAAAGAGAAGGGAAAGACGAGTGGCAGTAAACTTGAAAAACTCCTCCAGGATCTGTTGGTGTCTCATGGTGAAAGATGGACAGAGGAGATGAGGGCGGACCTCCCTCGCAGCTTCCAGAGGCACGGAGACCTCGTCCTGCTGGGGGACGGCTGTTTCTCCCTCCCTCTGTGGAAGGAAATGGGTACAGTCCTCAAACTACGTCAAACTGTACCTCGGCAAACTTTGGGCCCCGTAATTCCAACCTGTCATGGTTTAAATACCAAAAAAAAAAAAGCTATTTTGGAATCCATGAAACAGAGAATTAAGGCCCTACCCAGTAAATAAAGCTCTTGGTGGGTGTAGGTTTACAAAATAATTAATCGGGACATGTATTTATTTCCTTTTACTTATTTAGATGGACAGTTATGGAGCGCAGTGGCTGAAGGGCTGGGGGCAAAGCGTTTGGCAAAGATGAGTCGAATTTCCAGGGATGGATTTAGGTCTCCAACTGTGACGATGCTGATGGGGGAGCACAGCTGGGTCAAACATGTGGACAATGGTATCAGGTAGGTGTCAGTAATAATCTGTTTGGCACACAGGTTAATAACATTTCCAAAAATCTGTGTGAAACTCACATCTTCATCTCTGTTTCAGGTATGAGTTTGATGTCACCAAATGTATGTTTTCAGCTGGAAACATAACAGAGAAGCTGCGTGTGGCTGGATTGGACTGCACAGGAGAGACTGTGGTGGATTTATATGCAGGTAGTAAAATACTGTCATGGATTTTAAGTTTTTTTAAACAAGAGATTCTATAAAAATTATTTGTGGACATTTTGAAAATGTTCCTTTGTCCAGGTTTAATCCTTTTATTGCAAATGAAATGATTGTCAGGTATCGGATACTTCACTCTCCCATACCTGGTCCATGCTGGGGCCAGCCATGTTCATTCCTGCGAGTGGAACCCTGATGCTGTTGAAGCTTTACAGAAAAACCTGGAGGCCAATGAGGTGTCTGACCGCTGCACAATTCACCAAGGAGACAACCGAGAGGTAACATGTCGTGCTAGATATTCTCCATATGCTACATGTGTTGTTTTACACACATTAGCTGTTTCCCTGTTCACTTCACTGTCTGAATGGAAGTGTTGACTAACGCTCTCTAGTGGTGAGGAAGGGAACCAGAGATGAATTTTGACTCTCACCTCTATTGATTAATAAAAACATAATAATATATAAATATTTTAGCTGTGATCACATTGGATGTTTACATGGGGATGAACTCTGGATCCCACTGTTGCAAAAAAAAGTGTTGTAAAGGTTTAGTTTCAACAGACACTGCAACCACATTTAGTGAGTGGAGAAATATTGTTACAACACACTGATGATGAGATGTTACTTAAGTTTAAACAAGTTCATTTTATTTCAAAATGAAGTTCAACTTATTTCAAAAGTAAAGTTTAACAACTAGAAAGAGTCTCCACCAGTGTCTCACTTACTGCTGGTAACATATAACATATTTAAATTCATCATATACGTGATGAAAATGGTCACGATATTTAATATAAAATGAAATATTCAGTGAGAAAGACTGTGTTTAGGAGATTTGTTATTAGTTAGAGCCTATCCTTATGATAACCATAACACCCAATCCTGGCAGATCACAAAATGTCAATAAATGTCCTGAAACTTAACCTAAATCAAACACATAACAGCTGACTAACATTCTGTCTTTAAAATTTAAATTCATCTTTTTTTAAATCAAATTGTCATATTGGGTAATATCATAAGGATTTGTGGCTTTCATAAGGAGTCACATAGTCTATTTTGTGTAAAAAGTACATACTCTCAATATTTTGTCCACAGAAGCAAAAAAAGATTAATTTGCCTCAGTACAAGAATAAAAAATACTGGCATGCTTTTTGTAAAAAAGTCTCAAACAGAACTGAGTGCCTTTTTATTTTTACTTAATTTCTCCAGCTCCAGCTGTGTGACATTGCTGACCGCGTCAACCTGGGTCTCATACCGAGCTCGGAGGGCAGCTGGCCTGTCGCCTGTCGCTTGCTGAAGAGAACAACTGGGGGCATTTTGCACATTCACCAGAACGTCACCTCACCGTTACCGAACACTGCATCCATTCCAGCAATCAATGATGCCGCCCACAGGGTTTCTGGGAAGAAAGCCGACAGAGAGGCGTGGCGGGCCTGGGCTGATGACACAGCAAACCACATTGCTTCTCTTTTGAGGGACATCAGTGGTGCATCCTGGTTGACAAACATCCAGCACATAGAGCATGTGAAGTCATATGCACCTCATGTGCACCATGTTGTGCTGGACCTGGAGTGCAGACCTTTGTGAGCTGAAGACACAGATACAGAGAGGACACAGTGGCTCTGAACTTTTAAATATACTGAAGTTGCTTTTTTTTAAAAGAAGAAATAGCTTGAGGATTCAAAGTGAACGACTCCAGCTGGTTTCTATGATTATTTTATTGGCAGTTGGTGAAATCTGCTGCTCCAGTGTTTTTCTAAAACCGGGGGCACATTGAGCATATATGTTGTTTTTTTTGTTTTTTTTCCCTCAAAAACACTCATGCAGTTTTAATTACATGGAAGCTGCCCAGCTTTACCCCGACCACAGCCTTATCTGCCTTATCTGCTGACTGGAGAACTTAACTGGAGCATTAGTAGGCACAGGTTCAAAGAAACCTCACTGTTCTGTTAAACTCACTGTTTTTCTCTCTGGTGTTGAAAAGAAAAGGTGTACGCCCAGACATAACTCACATTCCATGCACAATTGTGCTGAAATATTTAATAATTAATGAATACAGGAACATCCAAAGCATTAAACTCCAATGTTCTGACTTTTTAAACTACAGGATTCATATATCTGGCTTGGAAAGGAAAGCCACCTTGAGAAATGACTGTCTTGTTAATGTATCTTTGGAACTACAGGAGGACAGAGTTCATTTTTACATGGTAGTTTCACTTCTGAGCTGTAGGAGGGTTACAAATTAAAGGAAAAACCCTCACACCTTAATGAGAAGTGAAACGATGTGAATCATATGATCTGGCCCTTTCACTCATCAGATCTAAACCCAGTTGAACAGCTGAAGCAGATTTTTGATCCAAATAAGGGAATATCTTCTGGTTGAACGGCGTTCATCCTTCCAGTAGTAATCTATGCCAAAGAGCACTGAAGCTCTTAAAATGACTTGTGGTGGATTAACATGTTTCTAAGAAAGTTGATGCTGTATTTCTTTGGTCATCCTTCTGCATGAGCATTATCAGTCATGGAAATATAAAGTCTATATATGTCCCAAAAAATGTTTCATATCAGTCAATATATCATTTTTTGGGTAGATGATGTTGGGTAGATGAAAACTTTAAGACTGTTGTAACTTTACAGGTAAGGTGGCCCTGAAGAGCTAATCACAAAGGCAAATCACAAAACACAACAGCAAACAAGTCCAGAGAGAAAACAGTGGTTAATAAGAAAAGACAAAGTCAAATCTTGCCCAGTTTGCCTTTGTGTGTTTTGATGTGTGTGCTGGTTTGCACCTCGGGGCCACCATACATGATGGAGCAGTGGTCATTGCTGCACTTTGACTCTAAGAGGAAATCAAATCCCTGCACTTCTCTCTCTTCACGTGTTTCCTGGACCTCCAGCGTCTCAGAGGTTCCACACGCGGCTCTGCTGAGGTGAACGGAGCAGACAGAGGAGCAGACAGAGGAGCAGACAGGAGGAGCACCTGTCATGGAAACTGTGGAGAGGCGCTCCTGACTCTCCCTCTGTGTGCGTGTGCGTGTGTGTGTGTGTCTGTGTATGTGTGTGTGTGTCTGCTGCAAACTTTCCTGATCTTCCGGTAGCAGACAGTCTCTCAGTCAACACAGCAGCAGGAGACGAGAGGAGGGACACAGCGGACCGAGCAGCGGAGGACGACCCAACCCGTTTATTACACAGGTAAAGGAATTAGCTTGTGATAGCAGTTAGCTCGTGTGCTACTTTTCACCTGTTTTGGTTGTTTAACGTCGCAGTGACGCAAAGTGAGGAGCGGTGTGACCTCGGCTTTAACAGCAGGTGTGTGTGTGTGTGTGTTTTCTTTAATGAACTAAAGTCGTGAGTTCGTTTATTCACGTGTCAAACTTGTAACTTTAACACAAACTGGTTTCTGTAGAAAGCAAAAGTAACGTTAATTGTCCGCTGGCGACGTAACGTCAACCAGAACCGTGGTATTCACAGCCGTTAGCGGCGCATCGCCAAGTCATTAATACGTGTCTTTGTGAAAGTGCAGACACGTTTGTTAGCATCTGCTTCGTGTTGTTGAACAACTCTACACAATCTTTAAAGTTGCATTGAAACAACAGCACTTTGCGTTAAATGTGTCGTTCCTGGAATCTGAATTTCAGCATTTCTATTAATCCAATAACAACAACTCATCTGTCATTATTTGATTCACTTCGTATGAGAGTATAAGTTCATATTCTTGTAAAGTGCTTTATACCTCTGTTTGAATAGTGCTATATAAATACTGATGATGAAGATGATGATGATGATTAGTGGTAGCAGTAGTTCTTGTCGCACTATTAGTAGTATTCACTGTTAATCCTCTGAAGGATGTGTTGTTTGTTAATCAAGGACATTTTTTTATTATGTAACTTAAAGACAAACTCGGCTCAATGTGCTTTAAAAAAAACATTTCCTCTTAAAAGCCTTTTTTATTTTTTGCAATTCCAGCGCCTCTTGGTCATCTTGACGCATGCTCCATTTCCTTAAGGTTACTTAGACAAGTAACCCAGCAGGTATTTTTAAACTCTTGCTGGAGTCAGTTTGCCTCAGGCATTCAAACAATGAGGAAAAGAAGCTCCTTTTTTTTTTTTGCGTGCACTTTTGCAGCTTTTCCTCTAATTAGCTTCTTCACATGCACATTTTCCCCCTAACTTAATTCTCTCTGAGGCTGTTAGAAAAATCAATGGAGCATGAAGTCTCAGATGGGATAGTGACAGATGATAAGCTTAATGTTGGGCTTAAACAAACGCTTAGGCTACTGAACTCCACCCGTCTCTCTGTATCCTTAGAGGGTGGGAACCCACTTCGTGTTGTTTTTGTCTATCCCACTCAAAACAACCTTTCACCCGGGCAGAGGCTTTCTGTGGGATTTTTTAAAATCCTCTGGCAGCCTGGTTCCTTTTTAGTCATTTATCAATTTTGGAGAACTGTGCTCAGCCAAAACTTTGTTCCAGGATGATTCCTGCCCCCTTGTGAAATGGAAAACATGTCTCAATGTTCCATCTACCATGAGTGACTATTTTAGACTGCTTTGTGTGTGTGTCTTCACAAAATTTTGAATACAAGAAGGAATAAAGTTGCTCTGCAGTGAGATTTATATAGTCAAATGAGGCAGTGTGTTTGGCCTGTTTTCTTAATGAGCCAACACATGCATGGTGGAGCAGGACTCACACATTGGTGGCTGAGTCTTCACGCCAGGGAGGCCAACAGGAAGAGGGACAGGTCACTCACTCATCTGTCAGTTGGTTGATAAAGACCCTGCAGCTCTCTCTGCATTTTCCTCCCTGCAGGGCATCAAGTCACCACAAGACCTTCTTCTATTTACTTTTATTGTCGTTGTAGCAACACGTCTGACAGTTCTCAAACACACCAATATACACAACTGGCCCTGAAACTGCATGCCTTACATGGGATCATAAGAAAACAGGCTCTACATTTTTTCTTGCTGTGACACAGTTGCGTGTATTTTACCCTCTGAGTCAACTCATGATGTTGTGTTTGTCTTTAGGGGAACTTCTCAATGCGACCGTCAGTTAGCTGGTGCTGAGGGCTTGTTGTTGAAGGCACTATGCCCCAGGCTGCTGACATGATCAGCCTGAGCTACCTGTCCGACTCCGAGCGGGAGCTGATCCTGGAGGTGCTGCAGCGGGACGAGGAGCTGAGGCAGACGGAGGAGCAGCGTGTGCGGTGAGAAGAGAACATTTTCCTGTTAATTGTGCTACTTGTTTTGGTTTTTTGTACATGAGAGTTAAGGTATTGCGAGGAAGTAATTGAGTAAGAAGTTAAGACTGCTGTAAAATTGTACTACTTATTATAGTAAACACACAGTAAGTGAATATAAATATATGTGAACGTGTAAATGTGCAGCCAGCTCCTTTGTTTTTCTTGGTTGAGCTGCAGGTGGTTCAGCTCACACAGTCCACAAAACTTTTGTCCACCCTCACATTATTCATGAGGAACGTGGCTGAATGGTTTAAAAATCAGAAAACATGATTCTGATGGTGACTCTGTTGAGGCGGGTATCTTTTCTTATTTAAGCAACATTCTTTTTTTACGTCTTGTGCTTTGAAAAGATGTTGGAAAATCGATTTTAGTAAATGAGATTATTCATTCATCACAAATGTTGTTGGCACCAATATTTCAAACAGTAGAGCCCGTACAGCCAAAGGCAAATTTACACAGGTGGCCATATAGTGGACAACAAATCTTATCTGTATGTGTTGCAGTGCACAATATCTTGATTTAAGGCTGGACAATAATTCAATGTAATAATTTATTGCATGGTCATCATGATGTGAATTTAATTAGTAATGCCAAGCTAATCTAGCCTATAGAAGATGGTAAATTGTGGTCACATTCAAATCTGTCCTGAATGTGTTACTGTGACCCCTTGTTATCAGATCTCACTTCCGTACTCTTCATGCAAATACACACATACAACGTCATTTCCGTTTGTGAAGACCACATTTTGTTTTTACCCAGTCTGTTTGTGTGGTCACATAGTTTCTGCATCATTTTATGCAGTGCACTGCTGCCACATGATTGTGAACTGCAGGAATAAACAGGTGTACAGGTTCCTCCCAACAAAGATAAAAATACTGTAAAATTTAGACATTTCATTTAACACCAAATCTAACATACAACATTTGCACAGGGTTTAAAGATGAAGTGTACAGTGTGTTTCTGTGTTTGTTGCAAAGTTTCCTTACTCCTGTAGATGGCTAGGCAATTCTTGAGTTACCTATTGTATATATAAAAACCAAAACCCACTGGATGATGTCACTTGTGTCATTATTGTGACAGGAAGCTGAAGACAGAGTTACTGGATGTGAAGAGGAAAGGAGCCAAACGTGGCAGTGGAAAATACAGTCAGCGTATTTGTGGCCGATGCCTGGAGCCTCTGAGTCGACTGACCATTTTCTCCAGCCAGTGCAAGATGTGCAATCACCACGTGTGCGGCAAATGCCGGACAGTCCTCCCCAATGGATCCTGGCTGTGCTGTGTGTGCGCCAAAGAATCGTAAGACGCCATTTTCTTCATGCTGTTCCTCAGACACTTCCCGGTTTTCTATGAGTCGATTCCTGTTTTGTTTATCTTGTGCAAGCACATGGTTGTTGGTTTCCCTGTGGTTTTGCACTATTCCAAACATGGGTGTAAATGATACCGGATTTAAAATGGTCACACAAAAAAAGATGTGAGGGAATTGTATTC